CTCCATGCATTTCTCGAAGTATAAATTAGCAGTTACTAAAAACAAAAGACCAACTAGAAGAGAGTCATTTTTATAAAGTTGCATTTCCAAAAGAAAGTCCTTAACCAAAATCCTTTCTTAGTGAATTCTAAAAAAGGACCTCGCCTTGTATTTTTAGTAAACCAGGTCCGCCCTTTTATAGCACCCTTCTAAAACGTCCTCAGTTCAGGCTGTCGGACCCCCCATTGTGTCCGGGCTTATTATTTTCCAAACGGTCGACTAATTATGACATTTTAGGTCTTGGAATACCTTAGAATGTTATGAAAAGAAAGAAAATGTACTCTAAAAGTTTGTGCGATTTTTCCTTTAGAAGTTAGACTTTCAATTTTTCGAATCGAGATCTTCTTTCCGAAAAAAAAAATTATTTTCCAAACGGTTGACTAATTATGACATTTCAGGTCGTTTAATACCTTATAATGTCATGAAAAGAAAGAAAATGTGCTCTAAAAGTTTGTGCGATTTTTCCTTTATAAGTTAGACTTTCAATTTTTCGAGTAGAGATCTTCTTTCCGAAAAAAAAAAAATTATTTTCCAAACGGTTGACTAATTATGACATTTCAGGTCGTTTAATACCTTATAATGTCATGAAAAGAAAGAAAATGTGCTCTAAAAGTTTGTGCGATTTTTCCTTTAGAAGTTAGACTTTCAATTTTTCTTATTTGGTATTTGGTTCTGGAAAAGCCGAAATATACCTCTAAATTTTTCTAGGGCTTCTCAGTAGTGTAATATTTTATCAATAAATCATTTACATTTATTTTTAATAAGAATACAATATAAATCAATTATTTAAAAAAAAATGGTTGTACAAGTATATCAATCGCTTTGGACGGATCGCCAAGTTCAGATGAGTCACAACGTTTAGCATTAGAATACAAACATCGCATCTGTGCAGTACTACTCCCAGATATTTGACACAAAAACAATACGAACATGCACGCAAATGTCACTGTTAACTTTCCAAACAGCTTCATTGTTCTGAAATATCTGAATCTAAGTCGCATTTTTTTTCTTTTATATTTAATGTTAGCAATTAATTTTTCTACTTTATTAATTTATAAAACAATGTAAATTAATTTCTTTCTTATCAAACATAAATTTTAGTACCTGTAAAATTGAGTAAAGTTAATTAGAGGAAAATTGAGTGACCTCGTCACTTAATGGATACATTATTTCATTTGTTTTATCTAGATTTGTTTAAGATCTAAACATTTCGAATATTTTACTCTTTTTTTACCCACACGACATCCATGTTTTGTTCAAATAATATCCTGGATGTCCATGAACTTCATATGGATGTCCACTGAACATTTATTTTTTGGTTAGTCCAATGGATATACCCACTCAGTAGTCCAATGAATGTTCTTTGGATGTCCTTCAGTAAAATGCTGGACGTCCTTCAATGGACTTCCAATAAATTGACATCTGCTGCTTCCAAGAACATTTTGAGCCACTTTTTTTACTCCTAGCAAGGGCGACCCCAAGACGAATATTCAAGGGGAGGGGGGTATTGCCTTTAGTCTTTCCCTTTATAGCACATTTTTTTGAATAAAAGGCTCATAAATCGCCCTCGACTCCTAGGAGGTTATTGTAAAAAATATTGTGCAATGGATTTGTTAGATAAGGTATCATAGAAATCAAACTATTTTTTGTTTTCAGAAATTTTGTTTACATGTAGTTCGGCTTTTCTTAAATCATTCAAAATTCTCCCTTTTTTTAAGACATTGATATCGTTCCATGGAATAAAATCTGCAAATTTCACAATCTTCTGTTCTTTACTAAAACGTCTACTACCATTACATTTACAAGTTTTTACATTAAAACACATATTTTAAAACATAGTAAATTCAACTACGGTCCTGTACTCAATGCACAGGTGTTTGTTGCGGGCCTGTGTAAATAAACGTTGATGTGGTCTACGTGATTAAAGTCGCACAGTCGCATTCAGTTAATTGTCTCAGAGCGCGAAAATCACTTAGGACCAACTACTTCTTGGCCCGTATCTCTTTTGATAGAAGAGTTGAGACTGTCAGTCGAGTAAAAACAGTCACACGATTCAGATGGTAAAGATCGAAAATCCCGGCCATTTTAAATTTTTATACGTAGGTAGACTTAAGCGACAATAAGTACAAATATTTTTACATGAACAGATCTAAGGGAGTAAAGGGATCATATAATTTTACATGGACGTATTTAAAAGGGATCAAATATTTTTAAATAAATTAGCGAAGTAAGGAGCCAAATATTTTACATGAGCAGGCTTAAGAAGCAAAGGGGCCAATAATTATTGGATAAATTGCTGAAACAAGTTTGTAAACCTTAATATGCGATATAGAATGGTTTTAAAAATTAAGGCTTGTGAAAATCATCACATGGTTTGACCTAAGTAATGCCAGTGCTTCACAAACCAAAACATTCATCGTCTTAATACTACTTTACCCTTGTGCGCCTCAGTCTCGATAAGGTGGGAACTACCAATTTAGCGTCTGTCAAATTTTAATTAGTAATTTATTATTTAAATTTAGCGAGGTTCTTGAGTTAAGGTTAGAGATTTTAGGTTAGATTCCAATTCAGTTAGCTTCAGTCTCAAGTCAACTTATTCCCTGTGGAACGTGGGATCCACGTTAAAAATGCACATATATTTTAAGACAAACTGGAACAAAATTTTTATTTTTTATGCAATTTAAAAAAAACGTTGATTAACTATAATACCAATCGAATCATGCTTTGATTGGTTGAATGTTTGACAGACAAATATACAAGGTGTTATTGAAATACACGTACATATTAAAACTGGGTATTGCGCAGATCCCCACTGAATGTAGAAAAATATTATTTTTTAAAAATACCCCTTATTAAGGGAGTTATTAATTTTTGAAAATTAATTCTAAAACAAACGTACTTCACTGATATGTTGAGGATGACCTATATAAATTAGGTTTATTTACCTATTTTATACATCAACAGTAATTAGTAATTAATATGCAAGTTTTTGTCAGATGATAAGAAAACTAGTCTTGTAAGAAATAACCATGTTGCCAAGATTTTCGAATTAATTTCTATTTCCGAAGACTGGTTTTTACTACCCTCGTTATCAAAAAACTAGAATATTTGATAAATGATTGTTTTTAAACTATACATTTTTGAAACTATAGATTATTAAAATTTTAGTTGATTTACGAATCTGGCTAACACGAGCGCGTCATTTCCAAGTTGGTAAAAAATGTTGTTACGATTACTTTTAAATATTTTTTTACGATGCCACTATTTACGAATATTGAACTAACGGATATAGTGCTGGTTTATGGGGCAGCTGGAGAAAATTCTCGGCAAGCACAAATCCTGTATCGCGAACGGTTTCCAAATCGGAGAATTCCGGACTGTCGTACGTTTATTTCAACTGTTCAGCATCTAAGAGACCATGGAAAATTTGAGAGTGTCAATGCAGATCGAGGGAGAACAAGAACACAAAGAACATTGGCGGCCGAAGAAGAAATATTGGAAGCTGTTGAAAACCGGCCTCAATTAAGTTGTAGAAGACTAGGTCTTGAAATTGGAGTGTCCTCATTTGTTGTGTGGCGGACACTTAAAGAACAAGGTTTACATCCTTATCACATCCAAAAAGTCCAGGCCTTATATCCAGGTGATGAAGAAAAGAGAGTGGAGTTTTGTGAATGGATGATTCAAAAATGTGTTGATATTCCTGATTTTCTAAAAATATTATTGTATACTGACGAGGCCTCATTCACTCGTGATGGCGTGTTCAATATGCACAATAGGCATATTTGGAGTGATGAAAATCCTCACGCCATTAGGGAAACTGGGCATCAAAGAAAATTTTCAATAAATGTTTGGACTGGCATAATAGATCAGTATTTAATCGGGCCTTATGTTCTCCCGAACAGATTAAATGGGCCAGGATATCTCCACTTTTTAGAAGATATTTTGCCAGTACTCCTAGAAGAGATACCGTTACAATTAAGGCAACGGATGTGGTACCTACTAGATGGCGCTCCTCCTCACTTTGATTTAAACGTACGGCAGTTTTTGAACATTAGATTTCCTCAAAAGTGGATAGGCAGAAATCCATGCGATTTCTTTTTGTGGGGTCACATGAAACAACTGGTTTATAATGAACCTATTAATAGTGTTGAACAATTAACCAATAAAGTTAATGCGGTAGCCGAGGAACTACGACAAAATCCAAGACTAATTTCTAATGTTCAAAGTTCTTTGGAAAGACGATTGCAAGTGTGTGTAAATAATAATGGACAGCATTTTGAACAATTACTGAAATAAACTTTATTTTGAATTAATTGGTTTTGCTACGGCAACAGTGCAATTTCTATGGGTAAGTTCGATTTCGATTTATTTTACTTCTTTAAATATGGAAACTAGTAGGTAGGAAAAGGGGACTCTTCCCCAATATTTAAATTTTAGAATTTGAAGTTAAAATTGGTGCCAATCGTTTTTGGTCATTACATACTATTCCCCATTTTAATATGTACGTGTATTTCAATAACACCCTGTATACTGTAAAGATTCTAATTTTAAATTTAAAGAAACCTACAGCTTACCGTATACATTGGAAAATTTCCAGAATTAATTCATGTTTTTCTATTAATTTTGTCGTTTTAGATAACCTTTCATAAAGGTAGTATACAATTTGGAGATCACTTCCTGGTACACCACGAAACAGAAGAACGATAAGGACTGAAATGTTTTCAAAACCTTGCATGGTATTCACACCTCTAGAAGTGTTAATATTTACATTCCTTATCTCAATGAAAACAATGACGACCTCCAATAGCCTAGACAAGGTTATCTTGAAATTAAATTAATCAATGGATCTATCCTTGAAGTCTGAAACCTTTGGAAAAGGGACGATATCCCTACTCTCGTTTTAATTTTATTAGAATGATATATATCAGTATTTTTTTAAATGTTCGTTTATTGCGCTCCAAATTCAGGTGTAAAATTCTGATTTGGAGCACAATAACAAAATAAAGTAAAAATATTAAAAAAAAACGATAAAATTTTAAGCACCAGGTTTAATTAAATAATTTTGAAACATAAAATAAATATAGGTAATTCTTTAAAAATGATTAAATCTTTATTGTACTCGTGGGCAACAATTGTCGTTGTATCTGGAGATAAACTGTTCAAAAATTGTAAGTATATATTTTTGTATTTACTATAATTCTTACGATAAACTTTTGAAAAATTTTGGTAGCTTGCGGGAAATGTACAGAATTATAATCATTAAAAATAAACATTGGACATTAGCAGTGGCGTAGCAGAACGCCCCCATGGAGGGTCTTCGCGTCATCATTTTCAATATCCACTTCATAAAACTTGAATTGAAACACAGTGAAGCAGATAATTGCGTGTACTGTGGGCTTTATAACAACATACAAATTATTTCAGACAGTCAAATAGGTATTCAAAAATTTTGGAAGTATCAAACAGGAATTAAATTTATTTATATTTATGTTATTTACAACAATACAATCTTGAAAATTCAGAAAAGTAATAATAACCAATGACGAAATTTTATTAAAATAAAAAAAACGATAGAAATTACACAAGTATCAGCAATGAGGTTGAATTACAAATAGTGCCATCTTCCAATTAATACCTACAATTTACCAGTCCATTTGCCAGCTACTTTTACTTTCCTAATTTATTTTTATCTTTACAATGCAATCAGCACGATGATGTAATAATACGTTAATTCTGTAGTTACTCGAAATTATATCAATTGTTTAAAGTTTTGAAAGGTTTTTAAAGTCGCACAGATATAATACACCTTACGTGATTTTAAGTTAAAAACAATTTCCTATATACGGGTTTGATCTTGAACTTGAATAATGACTAATACAATAACGGAACCTCTATCAAAGTAAATTTTATTTTAAAGTATATGTACCGGGTCTGAAGGTACAGTGGGTAACCCCTATCATAACTTTTATATATAGACTGGAGCTTTTTTTATATTAAATTTGACAACTGGTAAAATCTCACTATCGCGAGGTGTTAGATATTCTCTAACTTTCCCAATATTACTAAGGACTCCTACCTATAGGGCCAGTGTTGACATTCATAGGAAAGTTTCCCTAAATCTGGGGAAAATCAGCAAGTCGTTGGAGTTCCTTATATTGGAATGTTTGCAATGCATGGAATGTTAGACGTTAGAAATGATTGGAATGCGAAAAATAAGTCACATAAGTAATGCATAAACGGATGTTAAGAACATTTATAATAAAGTAGTTAGGATAAACCGAAAATTCTGTAAATCAATAGGATTCTATGTTAGAAGCAATTATTCAAGAAAATCAAAACCGCAAATCAATCAGATCTTTCGTTCTAGAGTTATCGTGTTGCTTTACATACGCACAGACGACCAGACGAAAAAATCACGAGCTGTGATCCGAATCACGGATCCTATTTCCGAATCCTTTTTACAAAAAAAAAGGATTCGAATCAAGTGATTCGAATCCATTTTTTCAGATCACGAATACGGATCACTGTTAGTGTCATACCATAGTATTATGTATGCTTCCGAATCTAATATTGTCTATTATCAATTATGTGTCAATTACATACTATAACATACATAAAAATCTGATGTGTCCAACACATGACTTTCCTATCTAGTTATTATATTTTCCCATACATCTACCTCGAAATATTTTTCTATAGATATTCACTGAAAACGAAGATACTGAAAAATTTAAATTTAGCACTCTTCCTCCAATTTTTCCATTACGGTCCATTTTAGAAAAATTATATATAAACAAAACATAAATATCGATATCGCAAAAAACTTTAAGTTCAACAATTTTCATAAAAATCAGAATTTTGCACATTTTGTCAAATTTCTCGAATACGGACCATTTCAGGAAATTTTGACATAGAACAAAAATTATAGATAATAATATTAGAAGTAACTTTTATTTGAACAATTTTCTTCTCCAAAAATAAATAAGAGACATTCCAAAAAATATAAAAACGGCCTCCCATAAAGTACCCCCCCCCCAAATGTTCCGACTTTGTCCAAAATTTAATAATTTCACGTCAGGCCGAAATAAAATTTAAGTTTAAAATTTAATGTTTTTTTTTATCCGTTTTTGAGTTTTCTTCAAAATTCGAAATTTACACATTTTCTCAAATATCTCGAATACGGTCCATTTTAGAGAAATTATGTATAGAATAAAAATTATAGAGAATTATATTACAAACAACTTTTATTTGAACAATTTTTATAAAAAATATGTTTTTTCATTTTGTCAAATTTCTCGAATACGGGCCATTTTAGGAAAATTTTGTATAGAACAGAAATTATATACATTAATATTAGAAGTAACTTTTATTTAAAGAATTTTCTTCTTCAAATGTAAATAACAGATATATTCCATAAAATATAAAAATGACCACCTATAAAGTACCCCCCTAGATGTTCCGACTCTGCCCAAAAACTAATCAGTTCATTGGACGATAGAATAAAGCTTAAGTTTGAAATTTGGTGTTTTTCTGTGTATCGGTTCATGAGTTATGGTGGATACAGACACACACACACACACACACACACACACACACACACACACACACACACACACACACACACACACACAGAGACAGGCATCCTCGCGAAAATAGTCAAAACGGATTCAAGGGACCTCAAAACGTAAAAATCCGTCGAAAACTCGAGTTCGAAAAAAATTATGATTTCTATACTTTCCTTATATGTATTTTAAGATCTTAAGATCTTAAGATCTTAAGATCTATCTAACCTAACCATAGGTGTATTTCCCTATGAAAAAAATACCTAATTAGAACAGATAGGAAAGTAAAAATGGTTGATTCAAGAAGATGTTGAATAATAAAACTATATGAACCATAAGTGAATTAGAATCTACAGAAAATTTATTTTATTTTTGATAGCGTTGATAAGAATTCAACTTAAATATACTGCGTTATGCAGCTACGTTAACAATAACAAGCAAATCCAAGTGGTTATTACCAGGCAAGCATTAAAGGCATATTAATCACGAGCTTTGTACAATACGGACCTTTTTTTATAACTATGCTTGAATTGAAATTGGGTTATTTTATTATTAAAATTACAAAAATATAAAATCTAATAATTTTAATACAAAAAACAATAAAAAAAAAATCTTTTGGTTGGCCTCACAAAGCACCAAAACTTTAAAGTTTGTCATGCCGTTCCTTCGAGGTGTGTCGATACCTCCAAATAAAAATAATTGTTCGACTGCACCAGACGAAAGAAGGCAAGTGTTAGTTTTAGGATTTTTTAAGTTGGATATTTATTGCTAATTTGTAATCTTTACGTTTGTTATCCAAATATCCACAATGGGTCTTTAGTCTCAGTATGTTTCAGTTATAAGTGTACACTTCGCGACAAATCAAAGCTTGAGTCGACCATTACCGCCGGCGTAGTTTAGTTTCTAAAAGGATCCGTGACTAATATTGGTGATTCAAATACGAATCCTTCAGGATTTCCTCGGCGAATCCGGATGACGGATCCTTTTTTTCATAAGTATTCGAATACCGCTCTCGGATTCGAATCCTCCCCAGCTCTGGTATATAACTCTTTGCTTTTCTGACCCAGGGTAGATCTAAAGTCAGATCTCTTTCTTCTTATAGTTTTTTAAAATGTTCAATATCATACCCAACCCAACTATGTTTAGGAATCTTTGATTATGCATGACAAAAACATAGTTTCTAGTATTACACCTATCTAACATTATTTTACTAATATTTTTTTAGATGCAAAACATGGTGAATGCGGAAGATCACCACCGAGTATATCATTAAGAATTGTGGGTGGCGAACAAGCCAAAAAAACAGAATTTCCATGGATGGTATCGCTGACCAAGAGAGGGGGACATTTTTGTGGAGGAGCGATAATCTCTGAAAAACTAGTAGTGACCGCTGCGCATTGTCTTTGCACGTAATTATTTATTTATTTTATTTATTTAATTTATGCCATTGTATCATTCTTATTTTAAGTCGATTCTAGCTTTTACTTTAACGCTGTTGACTTTCAAACGTTCCCGAACGAATCTGTAAACCTTTCTCTAATCTTTCTTTTAAGTTCTGTATGTAAGTAAGAGATGTACGGCCCTCTTTTTTCACTAAGAGGTTGCCTTTCAAAAAGAAGATCATAGGGAAGTTCAGTCTCCCTTCCAATAATCATCATAGATGGAGTATAAGTGGTTGATTCTAGCAGAACTAGAGGAATTAAAGTATGAATATTGATAACTATAAAATAAGAATAGGATAGCTGAGATATATAAAACGAAAATGGAAAAATTGACATTTATTTACAACATGTTAAAATAATTTAGAAATATTTACCTATAGTACACAAATCACTGCACAAACCTTTGCATATTACGCTATTTCGGGACTTAGGGTCCCAAAATAAGTAGCTCGCCTTTCGGCAAGAGCTTGGGACAACAGCTTTTACTCGAGTTTCGTACTCAAACCCAAAGTTTACCTGACAATTTTACTTTTTAGAATATCAATGGATAATACTATATTATATTTATATTTTTAATTAATGATTCCAATGATTACACCCACTTTATTATTGATATGAGGTATAATAAGTTTTTCAAATCGATTACTGAAAATAACCAGGTATTGAACTGTCTAATAATAATAAAAAACCAACATTATTATTTTTAATAACTGCGATCTCAATACAACTAATATATTTTTAGAAATTTAATATAAAAAGTAAAAAAGTCACTTACAACCCTCATCAAATAAAATAGTATGTAAAATATTACAAAAAACAATATATTTATCAAAATGTTAATAATAAACCCCACCGTTATTCCACCTCTTTGATTAACCTTTGTACAATTTACCCTCAAATATATTATATAATTTTTAGTGGTTTAGGCGACGATGACTTCTTTCCAGCAAAAAGTATCAAAATTACTTTAGGTCAACACGATCTTACAGACAAAAACAGTAACGCTTACAATGTCCAAGTAAAAACTATAATTGTTCACCACGGTTATGTATGTAAAGTAGCAAAAGATGACATCGCTTTACTGGAACTAGAAAAGGAAGTAAAATGGTCCAATCACGTTGCACCTGCTTGTGTTGCTGCAGTGAAAAATCAGAACGAATTTGATCACTCTCATGCTACTGTAGCTGGATGGGGTTGGAATGCTGAAGATCTTGCCATAGGTAATTATTTTTGTGTCCATTTTTCTTAAAAGATATGACGTTCTTAATCAACCTTTCTTCTGTATTTACTGAACAACAATAATTAATTACTCAACTAACTTAATGAACTTAAGTTTTAGACCAACTAAAATTTACTTTCAAAACGTCAGGGCCGACAAGAGGGGGGGAGGGGGGCAGCCGGGACTAATTCCCGTGGCCCGGGCTCAAATGGGGACCCGGCAGCTGTATAAGGGGGGTTCGGCAACTGTGGCGAAGTTTTTTTACTTTCAGAAGACTTTTTTTAGAGACATTTAAGTAAAGGGGTAGAGGAGAAATTTTTACTTGCAAAACTGCAAAACGTAACAAGTAACAGTATTCATTACTATTACACGGTGATTCGTGATCGCTCATAACTAGCTTTAACATTCTAATACATCCGCTATTATTATTTATTTATTTATTTAATACATTTTTGTGTGGTACTGATTTTGAGAATTTTATTTTCATTTATGAAAATGGCGACAATTTAACAGTTGAAAAACCTTTACGATTTAAAAATCTTATGTTTAAAGATGTTATATAAAATAAACTTTTTTAACTGTAATAAATTTTTCAGGACGACGTTCTGATAGCTTACAAAAGGCTAAACTACGGATGATAAATTTAGATGAATGCAGGCAATGGTACAGAGAACAGAATAAACATTTGGACATTTTAGATAGTCACTTATGTGCTGGTTATAAAAATGGTGGAATTGATGCGTGTTGGGTAAGAAAAGTCAAATTAAACAAATTTATTAATCCTTCATTTCATAACAAAATACAGGGAGTTATTTAATGATAGGTCATAATTCCAAGGGTGCATTTCTGAACCAAAAAGTATAAAAGTTCATATGAAAATGTGTCCTAAAAGGCCTGGTTTTCAAAATACAGGGTGTCAAAGTTTATTAATACCTACCTCAAAGATCATTTTGCTGATATTGTTGAAATTTGGCAGTGTTGTTCATTGTAATGAAACACTAATTTAGCACTTACTTAAAATAGTAATAAAAAAATGTTTTAAACCACACTTTTTGTACAAACTTTTATACTTGAATATATACCGTGTATATTTATTATTAAACGATTTTTGTAAACTAACTTAATAAGTGCGTAAATTTCAATTTTTGTTTGTTTTAGGCCGACAGTGGTGGACCGTTGATGAAGAAAATACATAATACTGACCAAATAATGGTTATTGGTGTTGTGTCTACCGGAAGAGGCTGTGGTAGACCTAATTTACCAGGAATTTATACAAGACTGTCCGATTACATTCCTTGGATGGACCACATCATCGATGGGATGAAAAGGATGCACAGAAATTCCAAAAAATTATGATAAACAAAGAAATAGTTGTTTATTTAAGATTAATATATTTGTTATTAAAAATGAGCTTGTTGTGTTATTATAGAATAGTAATTATATTGTTCAGACCTTAAGATTACTCGGTTACTATCTACTGAAACATTCAGGGCCGACTAGAGGGGGGGGGTAGCCGGGACCAATTCCCGGAGCCCGGACTGAAATGGGGGCCCGGTAGCGATATAAAGGAGGCCCAACAACTGATTTTTTTTTGTTTTGTATGAGAAATTCGACACAAGAAATTTTAATTGAAAACCTTTTTGTTTTTTCAACTAGAAGAAGAGGAAAGTTTTTGTTTGAAGAGCTGTTTTTTGTCACAGGGCCCGATCTAGAGAATTGTCCTGGAGCCAGACCTGGCTCTGGAAACATTTAATCAATGTAATAGCAAATACTCTTGCAAAACTGTCATGAATATTTTGAGCATGCCCTGACAATACCAGTAACTAGGATGTTGTTAATTCTTTTAGGAACACTTAGCAAAGGGAGTACAATCATCGTTATTTTACTGCCGATTCACCTAGGAAAAATTTTTAATTAATACGACGTGTCCTGGGGAACTAGAATCCCCAACTAGTCTTACTGGCTATTCCGACAGTAAATTAAGAATGGTTCTAATTAATATTCAATCAATACGGAATAAGACTGATGAATTGTATTTGTTTTTGGAAGAGTTAGGGTTTCCCCAAATAGTTGCTATTACAGAACACTGGTTACAAGTTGGTGAACCAGTTTTTGTCGAAAAATATACTATCATCAGCAGATATGATAGAAGTAATACAGACCATGGTGGAACTCTAATTTTATCCTTAGACAAGGACTTTTCTGCTGTATCTAAATACGACTTTCTACAAGCTGAACATTTCTTCGAATTTTCCATTGTAAACAACAAAAACATTGATTTGTTTATTATTTGTATTTATAGAACACCTAAATCAAATGTTCACCTCTTTCTAGAGAATCTTCTTAATCTACTTGACGCATTGCCTATAAAAAGTAAGAAAATTTTATGCGGCGATTTTAATATTGACTTTGCTAATGTATGTGCTACTCAAAAGTCTTTGATCAATATTTTTGAATCATTCAGTCTCACTATGCACGTAAATTCTCCAACTAGAATCACAGAAACAACATCTACAATTATAGATTACGTAGTCTCTGATTTTAAACCCGTTGATGTAGAGCACCAAGTAATTAGCTCAGGTCTCTCAGACCACGAAGCAGTATTTGCCAAATTTTTGATACCCCGTACAGCTCCAAAAAAAGCCCGTCAGCTAGGTAGAATTTTCTCTAAGCATCATTTCAAAAATTTCTATAATTTATGTCTAACTACTGATTGGAATGGTCTTTCTGAAGATATTGACTCTAAATTTTTAGACTTCTTAAATAAAATAATTATGTGTTTCAATACAGCTTTCCCCCTTCGCCCCATTAAAACTAAATGTCATAAATCTTGGACAACTAAAGGAATAAGAACATCATCTAAAAATATGAGGTCACTCATGTATATTAAAAAGTACACAGATAATCCCCTAATATTAAACTATATCAACAACTACAGAATATTGTATCGGAAAATCACCAAATCTGCTAAGAAAAACTATTACAAAAATCGCATCGCAAGAGCTAAAAACTCCTCCAAAGAAACCTGGTCTATAATAAATGACTTAAGGAATAAAACCCGTTCTTCAAACAGTGTAAATCCTAGCCCAGATGAACTAAACAATTATTTCGTAAATGTAAGTAAAAATATCAAATCTAACATAGCTCCGAGTCAGGATGCTCTCTCCTTCCTCCTACCTACTAAAAGGATCACTGAAAGTTTCTTCCTAAGACCAGTAGACAAGCATGAACTAGTGCAAACCATAAACAACATCCAAAATAAATTTTCCTGTGGAATTGATGGCCTGTCCACCAAAATATTTCTAAATATACCGGATGTAGTAATCAACATTTTAACTTCACTGATTAATGAATCCTTTGAAATTGGTCTCTTTCCTAACTGTCTAAAAACAGCTATAATAATCCCACTTCATAAAGGTGGCGACAAAACCAAAACCTGTAACTATAGACCTATCGCGTTATTGTCTACCTTATCGAAGATAGTAGAACGGCTAATGAAAAACCGTCTTTTGCCCTTTCTTTTCAAGCATAACATCCTCACAGCTCATCAGTATGGCTTTCTACCTAAAAAATGCACTAGCGACGCAATGTTTTCCGTTCTTAATGAAATATACACATCACTTAATGATAAACTTTTCACCGCTTCAGTATTTTGTGACTTCGCAAAGGCCTTCGATTGTGTAAATCATGATATTTTAATTAATAAGTTACAAATTTATGGCATACGGGGTTCTCCTTTACAATGGTTTAAAACTTACCTAGAAAATAGAAATCAACAGGTGCGGGCGAATGGTGAGGATTCTACAAATCTAGCAATAAGCAGTGGAGTACCTCAAGGATCAGTATTAGGTCCAATTTTGTTTTTATTATTCATCAACGACATCACAGACTTAAGAATAAGTGGTAGAATTACTTTATTTGCTGATGACACCAGTGTAACCTGGAATAATTCTAACATGCAGACATTACAATCTATCATAAGTGAAGATCTAGTGACTATTAAGTCCTGGTCTGATTCGAATGGACTTTGTTTCAACACCAGTAAAACTGTAGCATTGTCTTACAGAGGTACTTTACAATCTATAACTTTAAATAATAATCTGATCCAAACGGTGACTTCAATCAAGTTTTTAGGTCTTTATATAGACGATTCTCTAAAATGGTCTGCTCATATAGATACCTTAGCAAAAAAATTATCCTCCGCATGTTTTGCCATTAAATCGGCTTCTAAAGAGCTGACTCCTTCTACTGCATTAATAACCTACTTTTCCTTATTCGAATCTCACCTTCGCTATGGTTTACCTTTCTGGGGTTCTTGTAGCTTATACCTTTTCGAATCTATTTTTAAACTGCAAAAAAGAGCAATCCGCTATGTATTTGGTTTAAGTAGTAGGACACATTGCGAAAATTACTTCAAAAATTTCAAAATTCTAACCCTTCCTGCTCTATTTATTTTCGAATCCGTCTGCTTAGTTCCCAAGCACATTCAAAATTTATCCGAAAGACCGACTCGTAGATATCCTACAAGAAATTTAGAGACTGATGTTTATTTAACAATGCCCACTTCTGACCTATTAAAACATTCCATTATCTACAATGCCAAAAAATTGTATAATAACCTTCCGATGCAATTAAAATCTATAAATACATACGATAAGTTCCGAAGACTGGCTAAAGCTTTTCTTCTAGAAAGACCATATTACACAGTAGCAGAATTTTATAACGTACCTTAGACATTTGAGTTCCACATACAATGGCATTAATTAAATAATTAAATATTAAAGTTTAAATTTAAATTTAAAAATTAAATTAGAATAATTATAATGACGGATATTGCATATCCATTGCAATTGTTATTCCTATTTTGTCTGTTTGTTTCTGTTTGTTTTTTCTGCTATTTGGTTATTTTTATAATATGTTTAGTATTTAAGTTACACGCTTTGTCTATAAAATTTTTGTAAATTTTTTTTACGACAATAAAGCATATCTCTCTCTCTCTCTCTCTTACATCAGCATTTTTGGAAAGCGGACACGCATGTGGCAGGTATAAAGGTAATGGAAAAGGGATATAATTGCCAACCCGAACAGCAAACACGATCTATGGACTAAATTGACTATTTTCGCCAAATTAAAATACTGATAAATGGTTGTGGTGTTGTACAAGTAAATAATGGTCACTTTTAAATGAAAATCATCTACAAAGATAACAAGTAAATAATATGATAAAGCGAAAAGCTGTAGATGAGTTGTCTAAATGACTATCTAAATTAATTAATCGGGGCAGATCACAAAATAAAACTTTAGACAAATTATTTTGGGTAAGAATAGCTTCAATAATCCTCTTTAGCTGTCATCAGAGCTTAAGAGCTCTAGGAAAATATTTGTTTTGAATAGTTTGTATAAATCTGACAATTATATGTCTGTATTAATAAACAAATTTTTATTTATTATCAAACATAGTTATACAGTTAAAAATTTTGTAATCATAATTACCAACCTCCATTCCAAACTTCTATTAAGATCAATGTCTAAGATAATGCAACATAATCAAGATTTACAAGTTTATAAATATTTAATGCCTATCATAGCTTATTGTATCAATAAATGAATTAATAGTATTCACAAGGACCACCTTAATTATAAAACAAAACATATGCCTCCACCTATTTCATTCGAGAAGATGACTTGCTAGTATCAAAATTATTAGCGTATTGGCCAATCGCGCATTCACATCAAATGAGTTGTATCCATCGGCAATAAATAGTGATCATCTCTAATTAAACGGATCCGACTCGGTTTCATACTACTTGTTAATATAATTAATTGTCTTTTCTCAAAGTGGTTACCAAACAATTAAATGACGCTCTTAAATTTAATACTGAAAATGCAGTGGCGTAGATAGTACATTTTCTTAAATAGGATACTTACAATGTTTTCGGATACTAAAACCCGACACCCCTGGGCGAAATAAACCTAGGTTTTGTAGCATGTATGCACGTACGACCTAGTGGAAAATAAGGATAATTTTACCCTACATAAAATAGTGAGGGGGGGGATAGAATCGAGGAATTCATTGAAAAAAAAAAGAAACAGAATAAAGAGACTAGCAGGAAATGGGAGACATGATTTGAATGCTCCGAGGTTAAAGTTTGAGTGGGAATTACGTAGGGATGAGTCCTATATTAATTTCGACACAAAAAAACTTCTAAACAGCTAAAGGTAAAAAAGTGCAATTTTTTCTAAAATGTTTTATTTTTCCACAAGGTATGTTAAGAACATTGTGTCAAACGGGTTATGTAGGCATAAGGGTTTAAACTTTGACTTTTAAACAACGTTACGTTCATAAATAATAATTTTAATATAAAAACTACTTCTTACCTACAAATCCAAATCAGAA